TAATCATTATCGGATCAAATCTAATCACTAGATTAGAAATGAGAAAATGAGTAAAAATTCAATTTAAATTGAGACTAACAGAATTTTTAGTTTCTGTCCCTTTTCTGACATTATACTCACCCTTTTCTCTCCCTCTCCAGATCTTAAGGTCATTTCACAGTGGTGCTGTTGAGGGCAGTGTTAGAAGAATCTATAGTCCTTCAAAGGAGGGAATGTTTCTTCTTCATCTCTCTAGGATTCGCTTGAGGCCATTTCTATACGTCCGCTTACACTTTTTCTTCACTGGACTGCAGCTCTATTTTGTATCTGAATTTATGGTGGCTCTAAAGTATATTAAATACCATTTCTTTGGTTTTTTTGTTACCCCTAAGACCAGTTTTGTCCAGCTCCTGGTCTGCTTTCTTTAACTGAGCACTGGTAAGTTGTTTGTAGTCATGGAGTTTCCCATGCCAGACCTATGCCCCACCTCTGATCATTCCATGCAGTGTTCCTCACATCACATCCTATGTCTCCACCTCTCAAGGTTTCTTTCCAGCCCTGTATTTCTATACAGCATTGCATTAGAGTAGTAAACATCATCCTACACGAAATGACTACTTGTTACTGCAGCCTATATAAAACTATGGTTATTCCATGCAAAGGTAAAAAAAGTAAAGCAAATCAGAAGAAAAAGTTGCTGTCACAGTTAAGCCGAGTAAAACATCACTGCAGGAAATACAGATCAAGTGTGATGAGCCTCAGTTCTTGCAAAGTTAATTCAAAGCTTATGGTCTATTGCAAGAAGTGTCAATATTGTTTTGTAGGGCTACAGGGAACAAACCCCTCATATTTCCCCTCAGAATTTGTATTGCATTTGCTACCTTTCCTTTTTCTGATCCCAAAGTCCATTTAAAAGATTGCTCACTCAACTATCGCTGCTTCAGCAATGCCATATTTTAGTCTCTTACGTGAATTTTACCTGGATTGGGTCATTTATGGTTATTTATTTAAACAAAATGGTAAATTCATAAACAGGTACAGACATAAGTATGTGTCATAGGTTTACTTGTTCTAAAAATCCAAGCAGAAATTTTCCTTTCCCCTGTCCCACTGTAAGACAAGGAGGTTGAACGAGGAGGGGGAAGGGGTAATTAACTATACAAAAGAACTAGCTGGCAGACCTGCATTCCCAGCTAATAGCCCATCTGAAAAACTGCAGGGATGGGGGAGGAGTTTTTCTCCTCCTCTCCTTACAGACAGTGAACACTTCACTTTGTGCCTTAAATGGGGGTAAGGTGTGTTGAAAAAGCTCGGAGGCCATTTTGCTCTCGACCTGGTCATCTGTCTGTTCTCTGGCTTCGGTTTGTCTACGGTCTGCTCTGTAACCAGCTGAACGTGCTCAGATTTCATCACAGAGTTTGTGCTCACCAACGAACAAAGGGGGAGTCCTGTCTACAGCCAGCCACAGACAGTGTGAGTTTAGTGGGAAAGAAACTGCCTTTCTTTTCCCTTTCTTGCCCTTCCCCTCCTTGGTGAGGGGGGGAGATCCCCATTTCGGCTTCTCCCGTGATCCAGGGCCCCCACGCAGTGACCGCCAGAGCCAACAGTGCCCCCTGCTGACCAACACCAAGCACTGCAGGCTCTGTGCTTCCAATGATCCAACAGTGCTCTGTGATTAGAATCGCGCCAGAGGACAGGGAAGTATCACACTGTTTCCTTTTTGAAGGGGACTTTTTGGGTACAGGATTATTGCTTGGTTTTGTGTGTAGTTACTGTTTTTGCCAATATACATATATCCTTTAATAAAGGGTTGTTATTTCTTCCTTTTTCCATACTTCTTCGATTGGAGCCTCTTAATCTTGGACTTACAGTTGCTGCGAGAGAAGAGTTTGGTCTACCTCCTAACTCATCCTCCCTAGCAAAACACTCTAGTCTCTTTAAACTAGGACAGTATTCTAATTTATCTGGGTACCAACTTCATAGCTATGTAGTTGCTTTAGTGCATCATGGATTCCAAGCTCACAAACACAGATGAGAAGCCAGGTATATTCTTTCAAGTTTAGTGTGCTAATGTAGTTAAATGTCTCATCCCATGGTACACAGAAAGTGGAAGTTGGAAGCTGCCTGAGAGAAACATAGAGACACTACTCGTGCGTGCATGGATGAAGTTAGAAAAGCTAAAGCTGAAATTAAAATAGCAGTAATCAGGAAGGACAAGAAAGTTTCCTCTAAGTATATTGGTAGCAAAAGGAAAGACAAGGAAAACAATTAAACAATTTGACTTCTAAGAACACATGCTTAGGTATAAAATGCATAGGGTCATTTATAAAAATAAACAGTACAATAGTAAAATCCTATAATTTCCCCTCCCTTTAATGTTACATAATTTATTTTTATCTTTGTTCCTTGTGCTTGCTGACCTTATTCCTGATAGAAGAATAAAAAGTTTAATTGTGCACAAAAATATTGTTTGAGTTCTCTAAGTACTGCATTTCTCAATTACTCAGCCCTTACTCACTATGAAGTGATAATTAGGCATTAAAAGCTAAGTGGATTACTGTGGAGACCTCTCCTGATATCCATTTATCACTTAATCAGATTTTAATACCATAAATTATGCATTTCTCAGCAGTATTCGGATTCCAATAAATTTTATAACAGTTTGGAGTTACTAGATTTTTTGACCTCATTGTGGCAGGCAAAAGTCATAAAGTTTGCTTAAAGGATACTGCCTTTGTAAGAATTTCAGATTTATAACAAAGTAATTTTTAAAGCCTGTTTGATTGCACTAATATTTATTCATAAGGCTTTCTTGGACAAGACAATTCCATCCTCATGCATAAACATGGTAAAATGGATCCAAAATACGTATTGAGTCAAAGTTTATTCCCAGTCTTTTTTTCCTTCCAATTTTGCCTTCCAGACCTCATTAAGAAAGAAAAAAAAAACAAACTTAACAATTTCCTAGGAGACAGAAACTTCCTCAATACATTCAGTTGATTTTGTAATCAAAATATCTATTTGTGTTTTAGCATGCCTTTTTGCCAACCAGTATTATAGAAAATGGCTTTCTAAAAGTATTAATCATGATGGAATCTCCTCTGAGATACACATACTTTAAGCTACCATTAGTGTCAATACAAACAGAGCAAATGAGAGTCTTATAAAGGCAAGTTGCCCATAGTTTCCTGTATATTATTACATATAATAATAATAATAAACAGCAAAAAGTATATAGTTTTCTATTTTCTCTATTATTTACATTTTACTGTAGTAATATACTTTAACAAATTTTAACTGAGTAAACTGTATAAATTACAGTAAAGTATACTTTTGGTTCTTGAAAATTTGAGATATTTTATTAGTGGGATATTTTTGACGGAGGGGTAAAAGGACAAAATAAACACTGGAAATCTCTATAGCATGCTGGTCAACCTCTCTGTAAATACATGAGATTGCTCATGTGGTTCAGCACCTGTTGGTACAAAATAGAGATTTCTGTCAAACAAATCACAGCATATTCCTGTTTACATTTATAGAAGTCCATAAAAAGCAGTCCTTAGGTCTTAGTTTGGCATATTAAAAGATAGATTATGTGTTACTCAAAGCTTAAGTGGTTTATATCAGGAATGGAGTAAAATGAATAAAACTGGCAAAACCACTTTACTGAAGAGACATTTTCTTACCAAATTTTATACTATCAACGTATGTTCTCCTGATGTTCCTAGCTTTAGATCAAAAGGAGAGCTGATTAAAAATTTTAAAACAATTTCATTATGGGAAGTAAAATTATTTCCTTTTTCTTTTGACATATGAAGAATTTCAAATAAAATACTAACTTCTGACTCAATATTTTATAAAACACATTGTCTGATTTAAGAAATTATCCAAATATCTTGTACATTCCTCCTGAACATTTTTCTGTGCAGCTCTTCCACGTTTTCTGATTAAACCATGGAGTGAAGTAACACAAGTTGGCAGTAAAAACGTCAGTAATCTACACTTACTGTATTTTCTGAAGTTTTCCTCCTTGAAACATCTCAAAACTCCTGCACCTCCTTCTAGTTTCCTCAGAAGTGAAGATCGTTTCACTTTTCATTTCTCTATTCTTTATATTTTCTAAAATTGAAAAAAAAAAGTAAAATGCTGAACTCCTGCTGTAGAAATAGTAAATTAAAAATAAAATTAAAATCAGGGAGAAATAAACAATAGCACACCAATAACAAAAAAAAATAAAATAAAACAAACAAACAAACAAAAACCTCCTCAAGAACCTATAGAGAGAATTCATTAAATTGTTTTCAGTACCAAAAATAAGAGAAAGTTAAAGTGTTTTGGTTTTGACAAATCTACTTGTTCTCCAAAAGTAATGGTAAAGCTGATGGTCTTCCTTATTGACTGGTATCACATTTCCAGAGATATATTCCTCTTCAGTACATTTTTTTTAGAACTGTCCAGTTACAAGTTCAGTTATTTCTGCCTGCTGATCTAAAAGCAGTTTTCAGCTAAGTAAGCAAATAATTGCTTAGTGGAATGACGCTAAAAGTTACCTCAGATAAATGTGGACTAGCCAAAACAGAGCTCAGAAAAGACATAATGAAATATAAAATATGTACATGATAGATTCAAAAGTCTTGAGTAGAGATCAGGTTTGACTCATGCAGCAGGAAAAAGCAGAAAAATACAAAGGTATTACCTCCATTTCAGTTAATTATTTCCAGTGAAAATCCTCCCTCTTCAGCTCTGTATCCCCATTTGAATGCATTCTAAAATTGTTTTAAATGCTGAAAAGTATTTTTTTTATCTCCTTTTTAAGACATTGAGATTTATTTACATATCTATATAAGTGGAGAGAAAAGAGTCTGAAACCTTACAGAAGATCTTTAAATTCTAACCAATATTCCAGAGAACTTATTTAAAGCAAGTTATTCTATTGATAGGACTAATATGTCTTATGATATTTCTTTAAGAGTGTGATATTAATTATTAACTTTTTTAGGACTTTTTTTTTTCAATCTCAGGAGAATTCTGCGAGTTGCAAATTGATAAATGTGGTTCCAATTCATGTGAAAATGGAGGAACATGTATTGCCTATGAAGATCATTTTCAGTGCACTTGCCCTGTAGGTGAGTCATTGGAAATTTATTTTATTTTCTAAACAGAACAAATAAAATGTCATCCAAATATTTATGTTTAAGAAATACCAACATAAAAGTGGCAATGTATCTCAGTGAATACAGCGAACATTTTTATGAAGAATTACACTTTTTGTTTAGGAAATAAAACTGCCAAATTACTCTAGCAGAGTGGTGTTAACTGCTAACACCCTGAACAGACATAATGTCAATATTCTGAACGAAGTGTGATTAAACATTCTCTTTGTGGTGCAGGTTTTGAAGGTGAAAGATGTGAACTCGATATTGATGCCTGCCTTTTCAACAATATAAGTTGTGCCCCAGGAGCACTGTGTATGGATAAATCTCATGGATTTAATTACACATGTTTATCACCATGTATTGGAAACACAGAGGTAGGATAAAGTGATATATTCCCCCCCGAGTTTTTGAGAAATCAAACAAGTTATTCTAAGAGCAGTGGGCTAATGAAGCCTCACTTCCCATGGCTTTCTAAACACAGTACTCATTCTTGATATATTCTCATGCTAATATTCCTTTTTCCTGTGTAAACTGTGCATCTAAAAGTGCAGGTTGTGACTAGTCTGGTCACTGTCCAACAAAACGTTTGATGTCTGAGCTCTGCCTTTCTTGTTCTTTATAGGTTTACTCACTGATGTCTCTTCTGTCCCCTACTTGCTGCTGTTATGATATGAAACTGGTAGGAACTTTAGGCGAAATTTCTTTGCAATGTTTGATGTGTTTAAAAGTTACTAGAGGGAAGGCTGATGGTACAGCAATGCACAGAAAGAGCAACAAAAGTTTTATTTCCATTAAAACCAAAAATAAAGACCATAATTGAAAACAGAAAAGCTAGACTAATTGCACTTTAATGAGAGATGAAATGCAGTTAGAAAAAAAAATCAAAATTCTCCTTTTCATTTACTCTTCAACACTTACAGTACAGGCCCATATCTTTGAGTTTGTGAGACTTTGATATGGGTTAAACTGAAATAGTGTTGCATTTTTTATTATGATAGTTGTTTTAAAAGCTATGTACACAATGCTATATAGCCTTTTCAAACAGCTACACAAACATGATGATGAGTGTTTTAAAGGCTTTATCAATTATTTTATTGAAGTATATGCACCATAAAAATATACTATGCAGAGTAGGCAATGTGTTTATAAAGAACAATCAATATTTATGTCACCTTGAAGTCCATGGGTACACACTTATAACTGAATATGAAATATAACACTGAAATACCCATTGGCTCAAAGGTTTATACTTTAATTGTTCAGCATCTGGTAAATTTTAACATTTTTATGATTTAGAGTGTCATACTGAGTGCAAATATATTGTACATGGCACAGCATCATAATGATGCAATAATCATTATGGGTAGTTAGTATGGAAAGTGATGGTGTGCCAAGGATGCTGATGGGAGCTAGTAAAACATTTTACTGTAGTATTTGCTTAAAAGCCTCAGACATAGTTAATTTATTCATACAAACATTTCATAGACTACCATAAATGTCATGTGGGAAAAAAAGTAACTTTTTATATATAACAATATACACTCACTGTATGAGATGTTTAATTTGGGCATAATGTGAATAATTAGTAGATTTTCTAATACAAAAGGGAATAGAAACTAAAATTATGAAATTATATACTTGAATTTTACTTGTTTTCATAGCTTACAGGTCATTAAATAGTATCATTTGCTTATTGGAAAAAATAAAGGCCATATTCAAACAAATAAATATTTTTATACTTTTTTTAAGCATTTTTGAAGCAATCATTTGAAATTAAACATTTCTATTATTCAATAAATTGAATTATCCAGCATTTAATTCTTAATTTATTTTTTGTGGCTGGAAGTAAGTATATATTTTGCATCCTTTCATTTCTTTTCCATTTCCACTGATATCTTAGATATGCTGAACTGCTTAGCCTCTGTGTATTCAGCACAACAGACTTAAAAGAATGCCACTGTTTTTAACATTTTATTAATGAACAAAAAATAAATTTCATTAATTGGGTCTCTTTTATCTCTATATAAATATATAATGGTATTAATGCATTGGAGTTTGGGTTTTTCTTTCCCAGCACAACACTCAATACATTACAGTTGTTTTTCATATTGTTTTAATTATAATTTATTTAAAAAAAAACAACAACACATAAATACCTTAAGACAGAGGATATCTTCTATTAAATTTCAAAATCTGATCTTAACTTCGTAATCAGGATACAGCCTGCCTGCCCTGCACTGAGAATTGTGAAGAACTTCTAAATAAATCAAAATGTTGTTCTCTTTAAATTAATTACATCCCGCAAGACGAAATTTAGCCACTTTGAATTATAATACCTTTTCTTCTGTAATGTTCTCAGGTAGCCATGAAAAGGAATAAAGAAAATATCCTTGTCCTATTTGAATATAAGATGCATGCTACAGATTCCAGTAATTTTTTTAACAGGAACTCACAGAGAACTGATAAGAGCACTCGTAATAACAAACAGTTGGAGTGCAACATGCTAGGCCTAGCTAATGGAATCATAGAACGACAGAACAGCCCAGGTTGGAAGGGATCTAAAAGTCCAACCTTTCATGGAAAAATGAGTGAGATTATCAGTCATATCTTGAAAACCTCCAGTGAGAGGAACTTCACCACAGATAGACCATACACTTTAAAAGTCCACCTGTGGTTCAAACAATCACAGGTATGGAAGCATTCTAAGATGTTCTGGACCACTCTTCAAGAAAGACATTGAGGTGCTGGAGTGTGTCCAGAGAAAGGCAACGGAGCTGATGAAGGGTCTAGAGAGTAAGCCCTATAGGGATCAGCTGAGGGAGCTGTGTTTGTTTAGCCTGGAGAAAAAGAGTTTCAGGGGAGACCTTATCACTCTATGCAGCTGTCTGAAAGGAGGCTGTAGCCAGGTGGGGGTCGGCCTCTTCTCCCAGGCAACAAGTGATAGGACAAGAGGGCATACCCTTAGATATGTCAAGCTGTGCCAGGGGAAGTTCAGGTTGAACATCAGAAAGAATTTCTTTCTGGAAAGGGTTGTTAAACATTGGAATAGACTGTCCAGGGAAGTGGTAGAGTCACCATCCCTGGAGGTGTTCAAGAAACGACAGTCTTATCTCAATCAGTGGACAACAGATGATATTTAGAGGAGAAACAGACATATCATTCACTTCCTGCAAAAAGGAGATAGGAGAAGAATAAAATAACCATGTAGGGACTAATTATCTTTCCTATCTCTAACAACATCTCCTAATTGATATTAGAAGGAAGTGATTCTTACATTTTATCAATTATTCTTACATTTATTTATATAATGAGGAAGATTTGTTTTAAAGTACTTGCTATAGACAATATTATGATGGTCAGACTGACCAGAGTAGACTGACCGGAACAGACCTGTTTATGGTCTGTTGAATCATAAGATTTGTATTAATCATACCTATTGGGAAGATTTACTTGGGGAAAAAGGAAAAGTCAATTGATGGGAAGAAGCTGCTCTTTCCAAAACTCCATTTGTCTATTTATTTCCACTCAAAAGTATTTCTTGTACAAAGAAGAAACAAAAAAAAAAACACAATGCAAGTTTGAAGCTTAGAAAACCACAATGCAGAGGTATTCAGTTTGACTTTAGTAATAGATTAATAAATATATTTAGCCCAGATTTCTTATTAAATCCTTAAAGATACTAACTCAGAGTTTTCAAAATTTGAATTGATATTTATCTCTGCTCCAAAATTAATTCTCTATCTGATAGAAAAAACTGCTAACTAGATTTGATGCTAAAAATACATTCCATAACTTTCATTGCAATTTAAAAGTGTTTTAGATTGCACTAGCATCTTAAAGGGGAACACCTTTCTTCAGAGTATAAAAACAACATAAGAATATAACAAATATAATGTGATGATATTGAAATATTTGTCTTAATTGTCTAAGTTTTTTCTGGATGGTTTTCTTGAGTATAAGCTTATTTGACCTTTTGACCTATTTGAGATTTGAGAAAATAGTAAGCCTTAGGCAAAATCCAACAAAAATGTTTAAATAAAAAAATTAGAAAACACATAAAAATGAAACAAAAAGGAAGAGAACATTTCCCAAACCATACACATAAAAGTAGTTTTTGCATTTATGTTGAGCTGTACTTTTCTTCAAGAAGTTGCCATATTGAATAAGAATCCCAAGGTAAGTGTAAAATTCAGTACTGAGAGCATAACAAAAATCTTTTCATTTTAAGGACAATTTAAAACTTAATAAAAGGCAAATGAATATTATAATATTTCTGTCAAGAACTGTTATTATTACAAATCTTAATGACATTATAAAGAGATTCAGATTCAATCAAACTGAAGTACTACTGGATTAGCTCATCTTCTAGATACAATTTTCTTTAGAAACCAATTGGTTATAAGGAGGGGTTTTAAGTGCTTTGAAATGAAAATGTTGTTATCCATCTTCACACTGACAAAATTTTCATGGAAATAAAAAGGGAAACTAAAACTAAAATGAGGAAGGGAGCATTCATTCAGACTTAAAACTTCCTGTAGTTTTTGAAGAATACAGGTTTAGTAAGTAATATTAGCAATTAAAACCAAAAAGGAAAAAGGCAGTTCCAGTCTTAAGTTTACCAATCTCTCAATCTGCAGATTGAAAAGAAAGAAGCTGCTGATCCTCCCAGAGTACAGATGTTATATATATATATATATATATATATATAAAAACATTCAAGGATAGATTGTGAATCAGCATTATAATTAACATGAAAAAAAATTCAGTCTTTTTTTTCCTAATAGCCAAAAATTTAGTGACATTTTATACAGATTTTAAGCGCAGGAACAATTGCTCTATTTTTTCAATGGAAAAATAACAGGCTAGTTCACTATCATCCGTCCTGAAACAGGCAGAATTTAAAGGCAGTTATGAAAGTGATACTGTTAAATTAAATAATAAATACATCTTCCCGACTAAATGATAAACTGATACATTGATTTAATAACATTTAGTGTTTTAGTTTCTTGGAGATGTGTTTTTTTTAATATTACAACATAAAAAGATTAAATAACCATATTTATTACCAACTGCTTATTCAATTAAACTCCTTGGAAAAGAGCCACTCTATCACTTTCCTTCCCAGTAGGACATGGGAGAGAAAATAAGATGTATAACAACTCCATGTCATTGTAGGCTGAGATAAGGCAGTTTACCAAAGCAAAAGTGGAAGTTTGTGCTCATACAAGCAAAGGGGAAAAAAATAGGCTTATTTTCTACTTCCCATCAGCAAGCAATGTTCTGCCGCTTCCCAGGAAGCAGGGCTTCAGCACACATAGCAGTTGCTCCAGAAGGCAAACTTTGTAAATAACAAATGTTCCCACTTCTCCCTCTGTTCCTTAGCTTTTATATCTCAGCTGACATCAAATAGTATGGAATATCCCTTTGGTTAATTTGGGTCAGTTGTCCTAGTTGGGTCCCCTCCCAGGACCTTACCCACCCCCAGTTCCTGGATAGGGTGGTGGGGAATGTTGAGAGACAGTGCTGATGCTGTGCCAGCCCGGCTCAGCAGCAGCCAAAACACTGGTGTGTTATCAACATCTTTCTAGATACCAATGCAAAACACAGCTTTGAGGGTTGTTATGGGGGAAATGAACTCCATCTCAGCCAGATCCAATAGACTGGGTTTAAGTTTCTACCACCTCTCCCCCACAGCAGTGCAGGGATATTTGGAATAGAGGTTACAGTCAGTTCATCACATGTTGTTTCTGCTGCTCTCCTCAGGGAGAGAAGTCCTTCCCCTGGTCAAGGGTGGGGTCTTTCCCATGGAAGTCTTCCACAAACTTCTCCAATGTGAGTCCTTCCCACGGGCTGCAGTTCCTCCTGAACTGCTCCAGTGTAGGTCCCTTCCACAGCGTGCAATCCTTCAGAAACAGACTGCTCCAGTATGGCTCTCCCATGGGGTTAAAAGTGCTGCCAGCAAACCTATTCCAGCTGGTCAACCTACTATGTCCCACAGTCTTACAGCCTTCTTTTGGGCATCTACCTGATCAGGCATGGGTCTCTTCCACAGGCTGCAGATGGATCTCTGCTCCACCGTGGACCTCTGTAGTCTCCAGGGGGACAGGCTGATTCACTGTGGCCTTCACCACGGGCTGCAGGGGAAACTCAGCTCTGGCACCTGAAGCACCTCTTCCCCCTCCTTCTTCCCTGACCATGATGTCTGCATAGTTGTATTTCTCACCTATTCTCACTGCTCTCTTTGGCTGCAATTACATCTGTGTAATAACTTTTTTTCCTTCTTAAATATGTTATCACAGAGGCACTACCACTGTCACTGATGGGCTCAACCTTGGCCAGCATCAGGTCCATCCTGGAGCCAGCTGGCATTGTCTCTGTCACACATGGGGAAAGCTTCTGGCAGCTTCTCAGAGAAACCACCTCTATAGCCCTCTCACTATCAAAACCTGGCCATGCAATGTGTTTGTCATTTTCATCTTCAGGTATGTGCAAACGGAGGTAGTTGCTTCTACGATGAAGAAAACCAGAGACCTCACTGTGTCTGTGTTCTTGGATGGACAGGAAAAACATGCCTAGAGAATATTAATGAGTGTGAGGTAAACCAGTGCCAACATGGAGCCACATGTGAAGATGGAATTAATAAATACAGGTACTAACATGATGCCTTCATAAAGAAGTTTATGCCATATAAAAATATTTTTCCTTTCAAAAGAATTACAAAAGGAATTGCTAATGCAGTAATATTATTTTCATATTATAAAATACCATAATACTAGCTTTCAATAAGGATGTACCTTCAGTAACACTATGTAGCACAAAGTGTTGCACAGGAAGGACTCACAGATATTCCTCTTTGCTGGTAACAGTTAAACCAACTATGCAAAATCTCAGATAAACAAATAATCTATTTTAGTAAGTGGCAAACACTTTATAAGCCTGGACTGGGACATATAGTGACTTTTCTTATTAAAATTTGAATTATAACTTATTAGCATTTTAGATATTGACAAAACCATAAAGTGTGTGTTTTCCTTAGTGAGCTGTAATATGCTGTAGATATTTGAAAATGAGATTTTACAAAGTATGGTGAAAAAATAAATGGAAAAGGTTTTCTTCAATAAGCAGAGTTTAGTAGTTCTTATCAGACTTGAATTATTTATATTTCCTCTAAAAAATTTAGAATAATGAAAATCACTCCATAATATGTGTGAATGTATTTGGAAAGGCTTTAATTCTATGCTGTGTCCTAGACTTAGAAGCACTGTAATTAATATGCTTTAGAGTTTCTATCTAGGAAAGATTGCAATAGTGTAAAACATTAAAATAAAAACAATTAAAAATTTCTTCCACTCCATCGCTATTTTTATAGTATCTCCTGTAAAAATAACTGAAATCACCAAATAAGCACAAAAATACAGATTAGTATATGATTCTCAGTATAGCAGAGTTAAAAGGAATTTTTGTCACAGAATCCTTCCTTTTTCCCAGCTTGCAATCAACTCTTGTATCAAATAACTGGACCATATTCTTTATTTGGCTGATAAATCTGTGTTTTTCCAGTCTATATCAGGAAAATAATTCTGATAGAAGTACAAAGCCATGTTTACCTTACAAAATCCACCAGCATTTACTGAGAAATTAGTAGGTCTGAAGATTTTGGTAAAAAAGAAATTATGATTTTAGCTTGTTAACCCAGACTCAGTTTACTGACAGAAAACACTTGCTTCTTACTTTTTTAGTCTTTAAAAGACAAATCATTTGACAGTTCAGTCATTTTATCTAAGGAACAAGAACACATACCATTAAGATCCAAATCCTAGATGGTCAGTTTTGTTAATGGAGTACCTGACCCCACAAGAACACAATTGGTTATTTTGTCAAGATAAAGCATGTATAATACCTGTTTTGATGAAAGAGCATGGTCATTTCCTAATTGCAGTGAACCATGTTTTTAGAGGACTAAACTATGCCTGCCTTAAAAAAAATGGTATTTCCCAAGTTATTGTTAGCAAGTGAAACAACAATAATTTCACCTTTGCAATACACCATTAAAACCAAAAGAATACAAGAGGAAATGCTGAACATAACTACTGTAGTCACCTATCCTTTTTTAAAGACTTGCAATTTGCATTTCTATCCTAAAATGGTATCATTTTTCGTAAATAAGAGCTGTATTTGATGCAAAGTATTTTCAGAAAGACATAAGAAAACTGTCAGTAGAATATATGGAGAATTAGATTGTAAGTGCCATTAAAAAACCAGCAGAGATCCATTTTTAAAATTATTACAGTCATTCAAAACCTAACTTAATAAGTGCAGAAGATAAAGGTATGCCAAAATGTTATGTATTAGTTTTTTATTAACATAAATTAGTATAAGACTCTAGATCTTTCTCATAGTTAAGAAATGTTAAATTCAAAACTAATTATTAAACTTCAGTCATAATGTATTGTTCGAGTGGTACCTTGATATAGTAATGCTAACATGAGGAAAGCATGGAAAATATCCAGCTTAGCTTCAAGAACATTCCCCTCTTTTAAGGTCTCTCATTTTGCAGGTGGTCAGGTTTCGCATTTGAAAGTAATTTTTCTAACTTTCTGTGTCCTTATCTTGGCATATTCTTTCTCTTATGCCATTTTGAAATTACTCTTCCAGACAGTAGTGTCACGTACGTGTATATTTATATATATATATATATATACATTATATATATATATATATGCATTTCTATACATATATTTGCAGAGAAATTCCTTAGAGTTCAGGAGGAGGAATTGCTCTGAGTGAAGGAGGGGGACTTTAAAACTATGATAGGCTGTAATTCTCAGTAAGGCTATATATTAAGAGCCATATAATCACAGTAAGAAGTCTTAGGAATTTTACTCCTTTGGTTTAGTGAGACTTCTCTTACAAATAAAGTGGCCTCAATCACAGAAGCACAAAACCTCTAATTAATTCTAATGAATTGTTGCACTTCCTGCTGAGTCTGTGCTGTTTGAGATATCATAAAGTAAGTTAATCAGCATGTTTTTAAAATGATAACTTCTCCAAAGAATTACTGCTCCTGCCATTGGTTTGATGGTGTAGCTGGCACATACCATGAAATAGGCTAATTGCATCCACATAGCAAAGGAATCGCTTGACCTTCGGTCATATATACCTGAAAAAAAAAAAAAGATGAATAAGATTCTTTGCTTCAGTAAATAGACAGTGTTGCTACATTAAAATGAAAACATTTAGAATTTACTTTAGAAAAAACCTGTATGTTTCATTACTTTCTGTGTAGGAGAAGAAAGAGAGAACTGAGCTAATATGGCTCAATGACGAGCATTTAATGAATACTTAAAGTGAAAGAAATCTTCAGGGAGTATATCCTCCTGTTTTGAAATCCAAGGGGGGATTTATTAGTCTGTTTTCTTCACCCCTGTACGTTTATTCCTTGTCAACATTACATTTTGGACAACTAAGATGCTAACTGAAATAAGATGATAATAATAATAGATATTTTACTGTAGTTTATGTAGTGAAAAGGAGAAACAAAGGGAAAACACAGAATTTAAAACTCTGGGTAGTTTCCATTACATGTCCTGTTTCTTGTTTCTTCAGTCCAGTATGTTCAGATGAAGTCCTACACTTACAACCCCAGGAAAGCCCAGAAAGAAGGACTGAGAACTGTTAGATTAAGACTTGTATTAATCTAACAACTGTATTGGAGGATTTACCACTGTCTAAAAGGTCATGATGAACTGATATATTTTAAAAATGTATTTTAGTCAATAGCTACAACTCTGAGATCAGCATTTCATGACTTTTTATGCTGGAAAACTTACCATTAAGGAATTAGATTTGGTAAAACTTGAATTGCCGACTCATTCTTCAGTATTCAGTATATAAATATCAGCTCATACAATTCAAAGTTGAATTAATCTCAGTAGGAAAGAGTAAAGTGGCACATTGTAGAGTAAAATGCTTTAGAAATGAAACATTTCTTTGCATGATGCCAGTAAGATTGTGAAAGAAAACATAATTTAGACAACTTCTGAATATAACAAAATTTAAAGCTTTTATTGTTTTATTCGCCTTTAACTTTTTCCAGTTTCTTCCAGCTGAATGAATAAGCTGTTTGATTAGATTACTTTTGGTATCTAATTTTCTCTTTTTTACTTTATTCATTATATATGATATATGCAATTTGACTGCAGGACCTAGTTGGCAGTGTCATATAAACTTAGTACTGTGATATACACGGTTTTCTGTAGCAATAAGCTTCTTCCACTAGAAAAAGAGGAGAAATACTCTTCTTCCCTTTGCTACAGCTCCAAAGGTAGGTGAATATATGTCACAATTTCTTAGGGAATATCTCTGCAATAAGTTATACAACAGCTTTTCTGCAGAGAATACAGATACATATAAAAATTAAAAGTGAAACTAAATAACCTTTTTGACTATTTATGAATGTGTGTGCAGTTCACATTTCAATTGGAAAGCAAAATAATTAATACTGAGTAAATGCAGTTAATCTGCTTAGACTAATAATAATAAATATATTTAGATAATAACAATAAATATTAAATAATAAATATTTACAAAACAAAGTAGAGGGACTCCAGGAAATCTTTGCTTATGCCAGGCTTCAGTGCTCCTATATGTCTCCTATATTGACAGAGAAAATATCTGGGTCATCCCCTAGCACAGGTTTGCAAAGCCGGATCTTCAGTCTGGTCTTTGGCTTTTTTCAGTCATTTTAAAGATCCATCTGACGTACACAGTTATTTATTCAATAGCACACAAATCACACTACATCTTTAGTGCAGAAAGTCTATTGTGACACTGTGACAACTGCGCTGGCTGGGTTAACTAGTACTAACTTGGTTGCCCTCACACCTACTGCTCCAGACCTTTGGTGATAAAAAGCTATATCCTACTGCATGTTGGTAGGAACACATTGCAGCTATGGCATAACCATAAGCACTTCAGTAAAACATTCCTTCTTAGACTAAATTCCATGCCTGACATATCTGCATCTCCATTTAACATTTATTTTACAGGCATATCAAATTATTGGGCAACATAATCTAGATTTAGGTAGTGGAGTAGAAACATACAATTGTCTGCATGATGTGTGGGAGCACAGCAATCCACAATAAGGTCACTGTGGCTAGTGTTTGCTACCCACTACCAAAATCCATGTTTGTAGCAAAAGCATTGAGGTATTTGTTTTCCCTCCTAGGATCTGTTACACTCAAAATTTTGCTATGGGTGAAAGAGTACATATGTGAAGCTAAGAAAGTGCTGTTATTCCCATTAATATTAATACAAAATTTTTCATATCTTGCTTTTCTCTGGGACCATGCTCATCCTTTCAACGTTCTCCCAGTTTGTAAGGTTGACATTTTAGTCCTCTTTAAGAAAGAGGATGGGGGGGGTGTCATTAGCATCTCCTGGTTTTTGCTGGGAAGTGTCCTACACACATGCCAGAGAGGCTGAAGCTGGAGCAGGAGGGGCAGTAGCCGTTGGCTCCAGCACAGGAGTTAAACCAGTGACACCCAGCCCAGGCCATTACAGGGCTGAGCCACTGCACTGAGGTGTCAGTGCACAGCCAGGTCAGCCCTCTGATAAGGGCAAAAGTGTTAAAGTGCATGTACTTTTAATGTTTATGCATAATGAAATTTTATATAAGTTGAAATTTACATTTAGCTGCAAATGTCGTGATTTAACCCCCACCAGCAGCCAAGCACCACACAGCTGCTCGCTCACTCCCCCACCAGCAGGCTGAAGGAGAGAATCAGAAGGGTAAAAGCTAGAAAAATCATTAGTTAAGTTTAAGACAGTTTAATAGGCAAAGCAAAAGCCACGCATGCAAGCAAAGCAAAACAAGGAATTACTTCACTGCTTCCCAATGGCAGGCAGGTGTTTGGCAATCTCCAGGAAAGCAGGGCCCTGTCACACATAATGGTTACTTGGGAAGACAAACTCCATCCTTCCAAATGTCCCCCACTTCTTCCTTCTTCCTCCCGGCTTTACATGCCGAGCAGGACGATGTATGATCTGGAATATCCCTTTCGTCCATTTGGGTCACCTGTCCCAGTTGTGTCTTCTCCCAACTTCCTGTGCACAGTAAAGTAAATGTATGAAAAGATTTTTTTGAACTGCACTCCTTTAAAAAATGAGAAATGCAATCAAATGAAGCTCTCAAGAGGAGGGGAAGATTTCTCCTTTGCTAAGAAGTTTAGGCTGGAAGAGAGAATACTTGAGTAGGTACTGCAGTAGCAATGGATCTGCAAAGCAAAAACAGCGGTGCTGAAGACCCCAGGCTTACCTCACAAGCTCATCAAAAGAGTTTTATGTCAAAAAGATATAAGGTCCCAAAACCTACCCAACGGATTTATTAAAGTGGACTTCAGTTCTTTTAGACCTTGGGGCCATGCATGGGAAAAATATGACAATGTTTCCAGGAGGTCAAAATAACACACTTTTACTACCAAACTTTAGAAAATAAGGGAACTTGGTAAAAGTTTAAAGCAAATATTTCACAAAGCATTGACTTAGCAAATTCCAACCCATCCAAGTTTAAGTTAACCAAATCAAGGAAAAGGGAATTAGGAGAAGAAGAAGTGAAGAAAAAGAGAGAGTGAGCAAGAGAGAGAATTATAGCTACTGCCTTAGACCCAATGTAGAACTAGCTACTACAAATCCAAGGACAATAGGACCATGACCATGAGGAGGTCTTGTGGTGTGGGTTTTACTTACTATGGACTCCTGTGGCCAACCCCCCCAGGTGGGGCTTTTGATCTGCCAGCCGTTTGGGATCTGGGTTAGGGGCTCCAGGGGGTGTGGTATGGGGTTTCAGGTGTGTCAGTGGCTGACAGGTGCACTAAAGGCTCTCAAGGAGGTGGGGCATGAGGGTAGAGCACCATTCCACCTTGACAGAACCTGATTTGCCCCCTCCACTCCCCTCCCACTCCCCTCCCTCAAATTGTTTTGAGTCATTGATAATTTTAACAACTTTTTTTCAGTCTCTCATGACCACTCTAGATGAGATATGGAGGGATTACTTCAAGCAAGCTCTCTTTTGGTCCATGGACTAAAAGCCCATTAGCAGTTGGTGTCCGTTAGCTATACTCCAGGGCTCACAGCTAGTGATTTAGTTTCCATATGTCTACTATAAAAAATGCAGAGATAATAAACCAGGACAGAAGCAAACAGCCACATGAACAATCCCTTCTGTTAAAAATAAAGGGAAAAATACTCTTTCTGCCAGATGAATCAATAGAGAAAATTACTATAATCAAGGCTTCCTTAACATGTTAGTTCTTTCCATCATCTAGATAGCATCTCTCTGGACTAAGAAGATGTAAGATTACTGTAAAATTATCTCCTCCTGTGTGAGGAGACCTCTGTACATGATAAGGAAAGGATCAATCAAAGAATGTATTGCTAAGTACAAGGGATTTTCTAATTCTACAAGATATGGGTTAGCTATGAGATAGTCCAGATTTGTTTTCATTCACACATTTAAATGAAAAAAAGGCAGAAAGAGAAACATGAGAAAGTCATCTCCAGTCTTGAACAATTTATATCTCATCCAACATTTTGGGAAAAAAATCCTGAACAATTTCTGTAAAATTCTATGGATGCTCTTTTTTTTCAGTTAGATAGCAATTGAAACTTTTGTTGCTAATGATACAGCAGTTTTATGCTGCTTTTGTGTCCAGAGCAAACAGAATCTAATATCGTTTCTTCATACTGATATTGTAGGAAGTAACTAATTTTTTTTTCAGAAAAAAATAATTAAAATGTGTAATGCGCATATTTATAAGAGTTTTTTATTCTAATATTTTCATTTGAAGCTAAATATTAAAAGTTACAGAGCTACTAGTTTGTCCTGTGTAAATAGCTAAGATTTTCCATATTGTTTGGCTTCATTTAATTATTGCTAGCAGTCTATGTGAAATGAGTTTACTTAGTGACTAACTAAAGGTAAAGAAAAAAGATAGAAAAAAAAAGTGATTCATCTGTGAGTGATTAAAAGTGAGAATATTGTTAACAATATAGCCATTATGGACCATTATATTCCAAGCTGGTGATTCTGGGGGTGCTTTTCCCCTCTCCTCATCTCTCCTCACCTCGCCTCTCCTCTCCTGTTTTCTCATTTCAATAACAGGTGCATATGTCCCCTTGGCTACACTGGCACATATTGTGAACTTGATATAGACAATTGCATTGGAAATCAGTGCTCTGAATATGGATTCTGCCAGGACCACTTGCATAATTACAGCTGTAATTGTGTGCCCGGATATGAAGGTCCCTTCTGTGAAGTTGAAATTAATGAATGTTTAAGTTCACCTTGCAAAAACGGAGCTACTTGTATGGATTTAAGTGGCCACTTTTCTTGTCATTGTACTGCTGGGTTCAAAGGTAAGTTTTATCTTTTGAAGTGCCCTGTATTACAGATGTGAATGTCCCATTTTATGTAAGCAATGTTTATATAATTGTTTAATAACATATATATATATATATGATTATGCATATATTTTCATGGTTGTATGATTTACAGGAGTTTTAACTGAATTAGCATTTAAATTCTTAGATTGTGTCTCCTAATTGTTCCTCAGCTGACCTTCCCTTCACTAAACGTACAATTCTGAGCTTTAGCTTTGCTGCTGTTAGCAAAAAAAAATTTATCAAGTTCCAAAACAAAATTTTAATTGTATTATTTTATTTTCACAGTTATGCAGTCTTATGTCATGGCTTTAGTAATATATAGGCTAATAAGAACAAATGCTTTGGTACAGAACAGGAAAATCTAAGCATGAGGAGGAATGAGATCAGCAGCATCATCTGTCTGCATGTGTAGGATATAAACAGCCATATTTGAGTGACTCCTCTTCTATATGCTGGAGATAGGGTATCTGCCTGTCTTAGACATCTTTTCTAGGGAGAGATGAGCTGTAAATTTCTGTATTGCATTAGACGAATCCTACATAACTGATAACATGATTCCTTTTTATACTAATTTTTGGCTTTGTGTTAATAATACTGATATTCAGACTATATGTGAGAGGCAGAAAATAGTTTTGTATCCAGCAATACTGAAGTGTTGCATTTCCAGCCTTCAGTCTATATCATTGAGCACAGTTATCAATGCGCTGAATGCTTCTCTGTTGATAATCTATGATATGCTATCACTAACGAAGACAAAAATAAATAGTATATTATGTATAGTGTCATTTGTACTAACTAATCATTAATTTACAGCTTACTCTTTCAAACTGCTGAGGGCTTTTGCTCCAATTCAGGCAGTGTGTGTAGTACTAGATTTAGTCTGTACCAGTTAAACCCCTGAGATGTTCAACATGTATTTGGATCTTTCTGGGTCACTGCCAAAGTGCTGAACTATTAAATAATTATAACTTTACTGATCTTTTTTCATTATACATTCTGGCTAGCTTTTAGCATTTTATCATTAACATTTTTAATTTTGAGTACGTTTATGTTCCTTTATATATATATATATACATTTATGGAAGTATACACTGGCAGGTTTGTTGCCCTCAATTTGAGTATACAATTTCTTTGTAATTTTAATGACATTTATTAAAAGGTGTTATTTCCTGTTCATGCTTATTTATTAATAAATGTGCAACAAAACAAAGGAATGTCCCAGGAGTGGCTTAAATTCCAGCAAGATAGCACAACTACGTCTGACTACAAGTGAAGAAAACATACTTGGCTCAACTGTGTAAAATCTAACATAATATATTTCCATTTTGCTGCTGAAACCTCAACCCTTATTTTGTACTTTGCTGGACTTCGTGGGGAACTTCAACCACCCACATATCTTCTACAATAGAGTGGGGTATAAGATCTGCTTGGAAGAGTCCCGTAGGATAAAACCCCTGAGAGAAGAAGGGTCCAAGAAAGTCTATGATTACTAAGATCACGAGCAGTTCATCTCAACGAGCAGGCAAAAATACCAGGAGGCCTGTAGGAATGATCAAGGAACTCGTGGCCAAATTCAAACACAAAAAAGGAAACATACGGAGGACAGGAGTAAGGACAGGTAACCTGGCAGGAAATAGAGACACTATCTGAGAATGCAGCAATTAGTTTGGGAAAGTCAAGGCCCAAATGCTGTTGAGTATGACAAGGATGTGAAATACACCGAGAAGGGCTTCTGTAAGCGTGTATGTGACAAAGGGAAGAGAAGAGAGAATGTAGTCCCATTGCTCAATGAGATAGAACCTTGATGAGACTGGACATGGAGAAGTTTGGATACTGAATGCCACCTTTGCTTCAGACTGTGCTGGTGAGGCTGTCCTTCAATAATCCAACAACCTGAAACCAGAGAAAAAGTCTGAAGCAAGGAAGACACACCCTTGATGGATGAGACTCAGGAGAGCAAATACTTAGGCAAACTGAATACATATTTGTCCATGAACTGTGATGGGATGCACCCAAAAATCATAGCATCATAGAATTTATAATCATTGAAGTTGAAAAAGATCTCTAAGATCACTGGGTCCAAATATTAAGATACCACCACCACGTTAACAGCTAAACATTATCCCCAAGTGCCATATCTACATACCTTTTGAACAGTTTCCAGGGGTGGCAATTCAACCACTTTCCTGGGCAGCCTATTCCAGCACCTGAACACCCTTCTACTGAAGAATTTTTTCCAAATATCCACTCTAAAGCTCCCCTGGCACAACTTGCTTACATAAATGATATAATTACATATTACTCTGGCCTCCAGTCGGGAGGTCTGGAGACACACTATCTATAACGTTGCTTGTTTTGAGAACGCACACAGGGTCACTCTCAAGGAGAAAAGACAAGGCAGAAAGAATCGTGTCTTGTCGATACCACCTAAGGAGTCTTTCTGCTGTGCCTTTTGCAACAGGACTTGTCTGTCTCGTATTGGCCTTTTTAGCCACCAGTGCATTTGTAGCAAATGTGGGTAGAGCCCTTCCCAAGTCTTCGTTCATGAAGCCTGGCCACAATGAATTACATATTACTGAAAAAATCTTTTTTTAAAAAAAAACACCTTTATTTTCTCGCACAATGAGGTATTATATAATAGCATTTCCACCGAAGTAAATTTAAAGAAAAATGTCACAATATTACTCATTAATTGTAACTCATTACCACATGTACTGAATATATTAAATTCTGATTTTAAGCTGTAAACAATTAATAAAAGTCTGTTTAAACTTACAAAAATATTATCAGTACCATAGAAATTCTATTTTCATAGTCTCTATGGTTTATGATCCTAGGATATTTTCCATCACAAAATAGATTTAAAGTTTGGTCATAACTTCATGTTATGAATCAGTGATTAGTATCCCAGTGTAATACTAAAAACCTCACATTTATTCTTATCTCATTTGTATGTGTGTGTTTGTTATGTTGTTTCTCTGTAATTCGGCATTCTAACATATCCAGATGTACTTAATTTTTCTTCATAAATAGTAAATTCACTTTCAGATGAAATAGCAAAGGCAATACTGAATAAGCTTATTAGGTGGGAGGTGACTTGATGTCTATCCTGCTATTAAATGAATCCCTGTGTTCTCTTTGATATAACATTAGAATCAGTTTTTATTTCAGAAGCAAAATGTTAAACAGACAACTCATATCTGTCTGCTTTCTCTAGTTGATTGATCAATCTGATGTCTATCAACATTCCTCAGAAACTTTGCATTCTATTAGCTAGGGACCCCTTAGGCAGTGCAATGGATTTGATTTTTTTAAAAAACAAGTTCATAAAAAATGCAAGGCTTGGGTATTTTCATAATAAAAACAAATGCTTTGTAACATCATATACCACAGTCTTTCCTTTTGAACTGTAAATGATACTTGTGATGGAAATTTTAATATGGAGACATTTGGTATATGCCTGGTGCCCTCTCCACTGCCTATAAGAGAATTTCACCCATGTTCAAACTTGGAAGTTTGGAATACAATTATAAAAATTGAGTAAATAACTTCTTTAACTTTTGATTAAGTGATGACTCTGTATATCACCTAATTCTGGCTCAGTTTTTCAAACATAACATAGTGCTGCTCACCTTCAGAAAAATTCCGTCTATACTTTCTTCTGTATCTTTGTGTTAACTATCTCAATACATCAATGTTCAGCATCAAATAATTCCAGCTTTCATGATGACTGGTATTTCTAAACAAATACCACTGTGCTTATTTCTAGTCTAAAGGAAGATCTTGGAATTTTTCAGGGGGAAAAAAAGCTGTATTTATCCTAACACATCCTACATTAAAACTCTTCTGTTTAGATGCCCGCAAAAATGTGAAGGCAGCTACTGAGAACTCAAAGCAGATAGACAATATTGCCTCATTGGTTTCTCTTGAGGGTTTGTATCTATATAATGTACAGTTAAATTTGGGAAATATTTTTATTCTGAATATATACTGTATCCCACATAGCAAGATATTGATCTATCATTGCTTTAGCCATGTGTAAGTAACAACAGTATTGAAGCTCATCACTAATGTAGGCCTTCCTAGTGACTTTTTGGGTTTGACATTAATATATGCTATATGTGATGCTTGTCAGTATTCCTCTTTTTGTCCAAAAGAGGAAAATGTCATATGGGCTTTTTTAAATCCTTCAATTTCTTTAAATTTCTGTGCTTTGTTTTTGCTTTTTTATTCCACAAATACATAGGAGAAGTCCATTGTAAAATTTGAAGTCCATCTATGCAAGTATTTGAGTGTTGGTACTTTCAGTACGTTATTAATTGGTTTTACAACAAGCCTGGGCTGGGTGTGTGGCTCAGGGCATTGGGCAGTGCAGCTTCTGAAGGAGTTCTGGCTGGCTTCTTCTGGGGAAGAGTGATTATTGCTGGCACACTCTGCCAGTGTAGCCTGCTTGTCAGATGTACAATGTAATCCCATGGAGAGAGATGAGCTGGACTCTTGGCAGTTTAGATTTGAAGAGTCACATGCTTTCTCTGAGTTAAAACTCTTTCATAGATGCTAAGCCAGTGGAATGGTTTAACACCTCATATAAATCGCTTTCAATCTGTAATAAGTGTTCACAGAAAGGATTACACTGCATGAGGTAAATAAAAATTAAATTTGTTTTGGATTTTTAACTACTACAATATGTTACACAGAAAAGATCTTGAAGAAAAGAAAAAAAAACAATCAAGTGTGTAGAACAACAAAGTTGAGAAAGGGAAATATCTGTCAAGTTCACAAAAGCCACACCTGGAACACCTGTCTTGCTTTTTCATAACTGCATTTTCTGCAAAGTAAGCTGAAACATTACTGAGGGTGATACCTGTCTTATCTAACAGAATAACTTATGTTGCTTAGCAGGCAACAAAATTACACACTTTGTTATCAGGTACATGACTGGAATGGTTTATACTTATGCACATTTTTTACAA